CTTAGAACCTCTTTTGCTGTATCGCATAGATTTTGGCATGTCATATTTTCATTTACATTTATCTCTAGGTATTTTTTGATTTCTCCTTTGAGTTCTTCATTGACTCAATTATTAATCAGCAGCATTTTGTGTAATCTCCACGTATTTGTGGCTTTTCTGGTTGTCTTCCTGTAGTTGACTTCTAGTTTCATACCTTGGTGGTCAGAAAAGATGCTTAGTATTATTTAGATCTTCTTAAAGTTACTGAGACTTGTTTTGTGGTCTAATATGTGATCAGTCCTGGGGAATGTTCCATGAGCATTTGAAAAGAATGTGTATTCTGAGTGTTCTATATATATCTACAAGTCCATCTGTTCTAAATTGTCATTTAAGGCCAATGTTTCCTTATGGATCTTCTGTCTGGATGATCTATCCATTGGTGTAATGGAGTGTTAAAGTCCCCTACTGTTATTGTATTGTTGTCTTTTTCTCCTTTTATGTTTCTTGGTAATTGCTTTGTAAATTTAGGTGCTCCTATGTTGGGTGGGTAGATATTTACAAGTGCTATATCCTCTTTCTAGATTGTTCTCTTTATCATTATGTAGTGTCCTTCTTTGTCTCTTACAGTTTTTGTTTTAAACTCTATTTTGTCTGGTATAAGTATTATCACCCCAGCTTTCTTTTCTTTGCTATTTGCATGGAGCATCTTTTCGCATCTCTTTACTTTCAGTTTGTTAGAGTCTTTAGGTCTGAGGTGTGTCTCTTGTATGTAGCATATATATGGGTCTTGGTTTTTTATCCAGTCGTCCACAATACGCCTTTTGATTGGAGCATTTAGTCTACTGACATTTAAAGTAGCTATTGATAAATATGCATTTATTTCCATTTTGTTACTTTTTCCTGGGTGTTTAAGTAGTTCTTCTCTGTTCCTTTCTTCTTCTCTTGCTCTCTTCCCTTGTGGTTTGATGGTTTTCTTTAGTAATATGTTTGATTTCTTTTCTCTTACTGATTTGTTTATTTATTATAGGTTTCTGGTTTGTGATTACCACAAAGTTCATATATAATATTCTGTGTATATAGCAATCTATAGTGAGTTGATGTTCTCTTTAGCTTGACCTCTTTCTAAAAGTTCTACTCTTTTACTCCCCTCCTCCCATGTTTTTTGTTTTTAAAATCATATCTAATCTCTTATTAGATATGTGTCTATCCATTCTCCTCTTATCATCGAAATAAGTAATTTTAGTACTTTTGTCTTTTAACCTTCATATTATCTTCACAGGTGGTTGATCTGCTATCTTAATTGTGTTCTTGCCTTTACTAGTGATTTTATTGCCTGTTTTGTTTTCTTTTTGATAATTTTCTTATTCATATTTGTGGGCTTCTTTTTCCCATTTAAATAAGTCCCTTCAGCATTTCTTGTAGAACTGGTTTCTTGGTGATAAACTCCTTTAATTTGTGATTATCTGGGAAACTCTTTATCTCTCCTTCCATTCTGAATGATAACTTCACTGGCTAGAGTATTCTTGGCTGTCGGTTTTTTGTTTCCAGCACTTTAAATATATTGAGTCATTCTCTTCTAGCCTATAGGGTTTTGGCTGAGATGTCCACAGGTAACATTATGGAGGTTCCTTTATACACTTAAAACTCTGAAATTTTTTTGTTTTTAAAGATGTGCGTATGTGTGTGAGGAATGTTTTCCCTGAGCTAATCCCTGTGCCAATCTTCCTCTACTTTGTATGTGAGATGCCTCCACTGCATGCCTGATGGGCGGAATAGATCCGCATGTAGGATACAAACCTGTGAACCTGGGCCACTGAAGTGGAACACATGGAACTTTAAGCACCCAGCCACAGGGCCAGCCCTAAAACTGAAATATTTTTGAAAGTAATTAAGCAAGACACAAATGGTAGTGGTCTATACCATATTTTAATGGATTAGAACTCTCAATGTCATATAGACCTTAATTTTCCCTAAATTGGCTTCTAAGTTCAATGCAATCTTAAAACAGCTGAAGAGAATTTTTCGCTTGTTTGCAGAAATGCCAAAGTTTTTAGAGTTTTACAAAAAATAAACGGACGAGAGGACCAATGCTAGCTTGAGGAAGTAAAACAAAGTTGTTTGAATTACACTGCTCAACATGAAAAGATGTGATAAAGCTACTAGAAATAAAACAGCATTGCATTGATGCAAAGATAAATCTATGAAGGGAATTAAATGATGAAACCTGAAAAAGATTCACTTATGTAGCAACAATTTATGATGATAAGGTTGCCACTGAATGCAAGGAGAAAAAGGCAATCTTTTTAATAAATATGCTGGATTATTTGAATATTCACATGGAAAAAATAAACATTGTCCCCTGTCTCAAACCATAGACAAAGGCAACTTCAAGGCCATCAACCTCAGTTTGTAATGTCTGTGAGTGAAACTTACAGGACATAATTACCTACTTTCATGATAGTGAGTTAAGCAAAGATTTCTGAAACAAAAACCAGAGCCCTATCAGCAAATAAAAATTAAATGATGAATTGGACTTCATTAAGATTAAGAACTTTCATTTTCCAAAGTCATCATGAAGAATATGAAAAGGTAAGACACAGGTAGAGGATAAATAGCTTCAAAACATACTTCTGACAAAGGATTAATATATAAAAAATTCATAAAATTCCTAAAATTAAATTTAAAAAAGAAATAACTCTACTAAAAAGGACAAATTATTTGAATAGGTACTTCACAAAATAGGATGCCCAATACATAGAAAGCATATAGTAAAGTTTCAACATCATTAGTCATAAGATGGCAGAAATTAATAGGTTTGACAAAGTTACATGTTGGCAAGAATACGGAGCAATTATAACATTGCTGAGAGAAGAATATTGGCACACTGTTTACAAGAATTATTTGACATTGTCAACTAAGTTAAAAATGGCCACCATATAGCCTATGAATTCCACTTCTAATTCTACATTTTAAAAATAATAGAGTATATGTCTGCTTAAAAACATCTACAAGAATATTTTCAACAGTTTTATCTATAATAGTCTCATATGGAAACAGCCCAAATACTCAGTAACAGGAAATGATTAAATTAATGGTACTATATTTATAGAATTGACTATAAATTACAAATTAAAAGAATAAACTATTGCTAACATAATAACCTGGACAATTATCACAGACATAATACTGAGCGAAAAAACCAGACCCAAAATTGTACACACTGTGTATTTCTAGTCATATGAAAGTAATGAATATATAAAACTAATCTGTGGCATTATAAATCAGCACAGCAAATACTAGGAAGATATTCATCTAGAGAGGCATGAAAGAGATTTCTAGGATGCTGAAAATATGCTATATCTGCGTATGTGTGATACTTGAGTACAGTTATAAAAATTCATCAACCTCTATACCTTGAATTCTGTTCCTTACTATGTTATACCTTAATATTTTAAAAAAGTATTTGTTTTTAGAGATGCATACTCAAATATTATAGATTAAATAATATATGTATCTGTTTCAAATAATCAAATGGAATTTGGGATGATTGGACCAGTTTGTAAGTGACACAAGTTTGGCTATAAATCGATACTTTGTTGACAATGTGACGGATACAGCAGTGTGCATCATGAAATTTTCTCTATGTATGAAAGTTTAAAATGAAGAGAAATGAGGTGACTAACACGTGGCCTGGCACAGAGGAAGCACTCATACATATTTGTTGTTGACATTGAGATTTTTTAAACATTTTTGGACATTTCAGGGAATTTAGGAGACTGCTTGTTATTACCCCCAGGGCTGAAAACAGCAGGCATCTTGGAACAAGCCGTGTAGGAGTGGTCACTTCTCAGTTGGGCCCTCAGGCAAGCTCTTAGTGGGCATCAGCAGCAGGAAACTTTTATTCCTGCAATGCAGGCCTCCTCCAGCTCCGGGTCTCAAGACAGGTGAGAGGTATTATTGCAATCTGAATTTCTGGAAACTGAATATTTCTAAAAATTTAGTAGTCTCTAAGTCCACTGATCTCTATTTGGAAACACCCAAAGTTTGTCAGTTCAGGGATTCAGGACAAGGAGAATATAATACTTAGTATTGTCAGTCTGGGAGTGAGGTCATGGACTAGGCCAATTAAGGAAATGTGAGAAATTTGGGAAGAGGTGCAAAAATGATGTGGAAACAATGTCACCAGAGAGTCAGAGCTTTTGTTGCAGAGTGAAACGAAGTCAATCTGCGGAGCAGTCCATACAATGAGTTGTCAAAAGCTTTGCCTGCATTAGAAAGAGCTTCCCAAAGTCCCTGAACTATTTTACTGTGCTGCCCTTCCTGCCGGCTCAGTACTGAGTGTTGCTCTGGGAAGCAGCATTGCTCAACTCTTCAGATTCCCATTATTTAGATTAGTTTATCTATATTTAAAAGCACAACTCTTTTTTTAAGGAAAGTTAGTTATGCTAGTGGTCACAACATTTATATTTTCATTCAATAGTGATTTCTGTGATTTTTAGAGTATTCAAAATTGTAGGAGCCTACATTTTATGATTCAGCTCCTATATTAAGACAATCATTTGTAACAATTTCTCTTTTTTTTTTACTTTAACATATTCCTGTTGTTTTTGTTGTTTGTGATGTTTACATTTCCTTTAACACACTGTCACGTCTTCCTTCTAAAATGTAAGGCATTGACAGTTTTCTATTCCTACTTCCAGTGCCTGAGATGGTGCTTGGCATCAAAAACGCTCTTGAAAGCTAGAATAGAGAAAGACAATAAGCACAAATACTCTACCCAATATATACAATGAACTTGTTGATTTTACTTATTTTGTTTTTGTTGGCAGTTTTGTAAAGACTTGTTAAAATGTGAAGTGATTCTTTTGTTTCCTAGAAATGTATTATATTTCCTTTATTAATAGAGCTTCGTGAAATAGCTTCCTTGTCAAGAAAGGAATGACTTAGACGCTTAAAGATACATGCTTAGGAACTAATGATCTTTTTATGAAAATGTGATTCCTCTACATTAGTAAATTCTCTTACTTTTTTAAGAACAGTGCAGTTCTTTTGATTAAGTCATTGAAGGCTTGTTTTACTTGCTTGTTTCTCAAGGAGTAAATGAAGGGGTTCAGCATGGGAGCAATGGAAGTAATGAGGACTGCCATACCCTTATTAATAGCTGCTGATTCCTCTACTGAAGGTTTAACATACATGAAAATACAGCTTCCATACGTGATGGAGACCACAATCATGTGGGAAGAACAGGTAGAAAATGCCTTCTTTCTTTGCTGGGCAGAAGGGAATTGTAGAATGGTCTTGATGATGTACATGTAGGATAGAATTACACATATGAGGGTCATGATAAAGGTCAACACAGCACAGATTATGACCATCTGCTCTATGAGCCATGTTTCTGAGCATGCGAACTTTAGGAGTGGGGATGCATCACAGACAAAATGGTCAATAACGTTAGAATCACAGAATTTCAGAGTTAGGCCCAGGCTAAGAGGGGGCAGTATGATGAGCAAGCCAGCTGTCCAGCACCAAAGGATGAGTCTTCTACAGACCCTGTGGTTCATAATGGTCACGTAATGTAAGGGTTTACAGATGGCTACATATCGATCATAAGAAATGGTGACCAAGAGAAAAAATTCTGTTACCGCAAAAAGATCAGTAAAAAAAATTTGTATAGCACAATTGTCATATGTGATTTTCTTGTCACCTGTTGCTATGCTGTACAAATATTTGGGAATACAAGCAGATGTAAATGAGATTTCTAAGAAGGAGAAATTTTGTAGGAAAAAGTACATGGCAGTTTTAAGGTGAGAATCTACGAAAGTGAGGGAAATGATTGTCAGGTTCCCAGTTACACTCAACACGTAGCTGAGAAAAAGAAAGATAAAAATCACAACCTTCAGCTGTGGATCATCAGTCAGTCCTAGCAGGATAAAAGTTGTTATTGTGTGGTTTCTCATCACTGAATTCTGACTTCTGCTGAATCTGCATTTAAAATTCAGAGATATTTGAAATGGATACAGTGGTAATTAGTAGAGGGGAAAACTCTGCAAGCAAACATATTCACTTAAAAAATTTGTTTACAAATATTATCAATACACTGGTATCCTAGGTTCCACAGTGGAATATCTTTGGTCATTTCAGGGGAGATATAAAAAAAATTACAATTGCTTTATCTATGCTATACTCCAAAATATGATGAGTGCTTCCTTCTCATCACGTTATTCCCAATTTATATTTCATTTTGTCTGCACCTTGGATTTGATTTTCCCTTCCCATTAGATTTGACTGCTAATGTTTTGTGAAATCAAGAGTTCTTTCCTGTTCACAGACTGAATCCTAAAGCTGAATCTTAAACTTTCAGTATCCCCTTTATGTGTTTTCTTGAAGTTTTGTTGTCGCTAAAGTACAAATGTATCACAGATGGTTTAAGGCCCCCATAAAGGCTCTCCACAGTCATTACCGAAGATGTTGAACTCTGAATATAATGTTAAAAGTTTGGGTTTTCTTTAAACAACTTCCTTACTCACTCATTCCCCTAGTTCTCTCTCATAATTTTCTGTTTAAAATTACATTCAATTCCTACTGTGGTACAGAAGACGGGGAAAGTTTTGATGACAACTTTATTGCATAGAATGATGCTATGTGTTGAGCATAAAATACATAGTGATGTGAAAAATCATTACAATTTTTCTTAGTTTTCAATCTGTTTTGTTAAGGTTGAAACACATTCCAAACTGCTGTTATTAACAGCAGTAACTACAAAAAATGTCAGATTAAACTATTAAGCACCTTCTTTAAGCATGGCTTGCTTTTACTGTGACTCAGTTTTGTCATCTATAAAATGGAAATAAAAATATTATCCTTCATATATTGAAAAATTAAATAACTTACTGTCTAGAGTACATAACGATTTTCATTTTAGTTACCATACATTCAATCATCAATATGTTGTAATCATGTTTGTCTCCATGAATCTAATGAAATAATTTATGCCAAAGTTTATCAAATACTTCCCTTTTGCTCTTAAAGTTTAGGAACTTTCTAAGTACAATGTGTACTTTTAATCTGCAATAGTCATAGCATTCTTGCATAACTTACATTAATACCATGTACATGTTTTACCTACCATCTTTTTGCTTTTTAATTTGTAGACATTTCTTTTTTTACAGGTCTCTCTTATGTTCATAGTTCTTAATACTGCTTTTTAAAATTTTTTTTTATTGCATAAATTTGACATGTAACAATGTGTAGGTTTAAGGTGTACAGGATGTTACTTTGATACATTTATATATTGCAATATGATTGCCAATTTAGTGATATTTATCACATTACATAGTTACAATATTAGTGTCTATATTCATTACACTGTGCCTCAGTTTTACTACTCATTACAAGTTTGTACCCATAAATTTTACTTCTGAACATACGCACTCTCTTTGGGTATTTCCTTGAACTCCTAATCCTCAAAAACGATTGCTCTTTAGTCATGTATATAACCAAGTGCACTGCAAACACAAAAAGTCCAAAAGGAGGCACTTGATTTTCCACACTCTCATCCTGTGTCTTCCTCTGTCTTTTTTAATAATCAAACTGAATCTTTGCCATATGCTAGCTATTGAAATAAACACTTTACATGGATTATCAATCTGGAATAATCCTCCCTCCTGTGCTCCGTCTTTCCCTGTTCAATCCTTGTCCCCAGTGTCCAATTTTGCTGGGATTGCACATACTCAACCATTGGTTTTAGTTTTTAGTTGCCAGGAATTTGTATGTGGGAGGTGTATTACTACATCATGACATTCAAATTATGCCACTTTTAGATGACCTCTTATTTATTTTTGCTTAAAAAGACCTTATCAATGACTATACACTATCCAAGATTAATGCACTCTAAATACGATGTTTAATTAATACCCATGTTAGGACTTCCATTACTAAATTTTATACAGTCAGGAGAGATTCATTGATTAGGTGAAAATATGATCCAAGTTTCAAAAAAGAAAATGTAACCGAAATGATAGAAATTATAATACTTACACTCTGGCGGTCAATCTTAGCCTTTCTCTATCAATTGTTTACAACTCTTCTTAGAGCTGCAACTTGAAAATAGATATGATGTCAAAAACTAGCATGAGAATATCTGGTCACTGCTGATTGAATCTGGTCACTCCCACAGGAACAGCAGTTTAGGAATGCAGAATTTCCTTGAGATTTTGATCTTTAGTCAGTTGCACCAGCTTCTTTCCGACAGGTGTGGTGCTATCACAGGGTAGGAAATATATATTTTTTTAACTTTTAATTATTGAAAAGAAAAGCAGGTTCAAAGGAACTTCTAGCAGCTTTGGAAGGGTTGATGCTCTGAACTATTTTGCTCAGAGAGAGGATTTTCCAATTTCAAGCTTGATGTTTATTTTATTTGCCAAATCTACAACAAAATTTATAAACGAGTCCTTGGTGACCCAGATTCAAAAATTGCTAATGAGTCTTCTGTGTAATCGTCTTGAATCATCTGATCTTTGGGTAAAAAACAAACAAATCTAACACAGTAACAGTGGGAGCACGGCCTTTAGAGACAGGGGGAAAGCAGCAGAATCAGTTAAGAGACTGGTAGGACAAGATTTACTCTAATTAAGAACAAAACCTAGTCCAGCTTCTTTTACCTAATTCTTATCATGTAAGGTGGTTAAAAGATGATAGATCTCTCGCTCCACTTTTCCTTATATGTGCAACGAGAAAACTGAACTGAAGAAAAAGACAAAATAGAGATAACAAGAGGTAATATTTTGAAGCATATCCTTGCCCACTTTTCCTCCTGCAAATATATCCATGTATGTCACATGTAATAATTACAACTGCATGCATATTAAATGAAAATTACTTCGACATTGGGATATACAGATGGTCACAGCTATTCTACTCCTTGACACGTGTGAACTTCCTTATATTTCAATAATTATTGATTTGCATCATTTTAAACCTATTTAATTTCAGTCCACTGTATTCATTTAATCACCAGAGTTTAACCCCAAATTTATCAATGTTGTAAATGTATGCTGTTTCCAAAGTTTCACCATTGTTAAATATCACTTTATGGAAAATTGTGCTGTTTCTACTTATCTTAAATCATTTAGCTTCTTTCATATTTTTTTTTTTGAGGAAGATTAGCCCCAAGCTAACATCCGCTGCCAATTCTCCTCTTTTTGCTGAGGAAGACCGGCCCTGAGCTAACATCCATGCCCATCCTCCTCTACTTTCTATGTGGGATGCCTGCCACAACATGGCTTGATAAGCAGTGTGCAGGTCCACACCCGGGATCCCAACTGGCGAACACCGGGCCATGAAGTGGAATGTGCATACTTAACTGCTGTGCCACTGAGCAGGTCCCTACATTTTTTATAATTACAAAATATTACAAGCATAACCTTTGTGAAAATATTTTTATACATTGTCAGAACAATTGATAGAAGTGAAATTTCTTTAACATGCTGATATTCATATTTAGAACTCTGACGTACTAGCATTATTATGAGAGATAATGTGTTCCTCAAGTCAAGTGTACAAGAGTGTCTCTGTGCAGACGCTCAAGTCAAGAATGTATATCTTCTTTTCCTTTAAACAATTATTACCTTCATTCATTCACAGACTAATATGGGTCAAGCCTGGTTGCAGATTTATTGAAGTAAGATTTACACACAATAAGTGGACTCTTTTTAATACCTCATGATAAATTTTTACAGGTATATATACCTCTCTAATCCTTACCCTCACTGTATCGATAATGACCATTTCCATCTCCCTAGAAAGTTGCTCTATATCCCTTCCTAGCAAAGCCCTCTGTTCCCAGGAAGCCAGTGGTCTACTTTCTGTCATTTTAGATTAGATTTGATTTATCTTTTTCTTGTGTTTCATATGAATGGAATCATATATGGCATTCTTCCTTTATAAAGTTTTTTATATTTCCATCTTTACTATTGTATATATCAGTAGTTCATTTGTATTGCTGGGAAATTTTCCACAATTTAGACATATCACAACTTGTTTCTTTATTGAACAATAGATGGAAATTTTGAATATCTCTGGGTTTGTTTATTGGGAATAAAGCAGTTATGAATATTAATCTGCAAGTTTTTGCATAGACATATGTTTTCATTTCTCTCAGGCAAATACTTAAGTCTCACTTGTTGGGTCAAGTGCAAGTTTATGTTTGACAGACAAATAGGTTTGAAGAGGCTGTAACATTTTACATTCTCGGAAACAATATATGAAATTTCCAGTTGCTTTAAATCATCACTGATCCTTGGTATTCTCAGCCTGTTCATTTTTTTTTTAATTAAAAATTTCTTTTAGGGGGCTGGCCCCGTGGCCAAGTAGTTAAGGTTCTGTGCACTCAGCTTCAGTGACCAGGGTTCCCTGGTCTATGGAGGCATCCCACATACAAAATAGAGAAAGATTGGTATGGATGTTAGCTCAGGGCCAACCTTACTCAAGCAAAAAAAGAGGAGGAAAGGTAACGGATGTTAGTTCAGGGTGAATCTTCCTCACACACACACACAAATTATTGACATATAATCGATATACGTCATTCTATTAGTTTCAGGTGTACAGTGTAATGATTTGATAATTAGTATTTATTGCAAAATGATCACCACAGTATGTTTAGTTAGCATACATCACCACACAGTTAGAATTTCTTTTCTTGTGAGGAGAACTTTTAAGATCTACTCTCTTAGCAATTTTCAAATATACAAAGCAGTATTATTAACTATAGTCGCCATGTTGTAAATTATATCCCCATGACTTATTTATTTTATAACTGGAAGTTTGTACCTTTTGAACACCTTCACCCGTTTGGCCCACCCAACTCCTGCCTCTGGCTACTACCAACCTGTTCTCTGTATCTATGAGTTTGTTTTTTTTTTCTTTTTCAGATTCCATATATAAGTGAGATCATACAATA